AACTTAAGAGTAGTAGAGAATTACGGTGCAAGCCAAGCTAATGTTAAGTAAAGGTAAAAGTACAAAGCTGAGAAAAGTGTTTCCTTGAAGGTAAAAAGTAAACACATTGTTTTTATGTTGAATATTTTAATATTGTTAATTTAGTTTACTAAATTTAAAGTAGTCTCAGTTAGGAAGCGTTGTTAATATCACTCCATAATTCCATATCTTGATCGAATCTCCTCTTCTGCCTTTCCCTTTTTGTTGTTTCACAGTGGCTCGGTGGTAAGTCTGAAGGCTTATAACGCTAAAAATGTTCAAATCTGTATTCAATTTACCTGAATATATCACATGGCATCTGCTAAACATTTTATTACAGCTTAGAAGTGAAATGAATGAAATAATATCATACTTTACTTAAATGCTTACTGATCGCAATTTTTTTTTGTTGCAATATATCTAAACTTTTGTTATTGTAGTTCATTTAGGCAAATTACAAACTTTAAAAAATTAGCTATTAAATTTGTGTAAACATTTTTGCTCTACTACATTTTATGAGGTGTGGCCCTCTCGCGAGATTGTATTAAAATATTTTTTCCAGTTGTCAAGGGTTGAACTTGAAATATACAAGAAGTCAAGGTAATGCAATGGAAAGTGTTATTATTATTGTATTTTTTATACAAGTCTTATAAAAAATATCACATAAACTTTATGTTAAAAACCAATGTTGTCTTCTATATTATTGTAATAAAAATATAAAATATTTTGCTATATTATTGTATTATTTTTTAACTATATGACATTAATCATAATTATTAATATATACTAATAATATAGACTAATCGATAATAATACTGAAACTTAAAAGTATTATTAATATTCATACTAATATTACTATTACCACTGTCCCAGTCACACTACCGCAATCCAGGCGTAAAGAGAAATTCGAGGTTACTTAATTTTCAATGGCCTTAATTAGTCTATATCTATTCCTAATACAATAGTACTAATTATATTATTAGTACTAGTAGTAATATTATTACCAAATGACTATTATTATTAATACCAGAATCGGAAGAACAAAACTAGATCGTAGTTACTTCAATACTTGTACTACTACTACTAGGTTAGAACTTAAAAGCCTAACCATAAATTATGCTTTAATTAATAAATCCTAGATTAAGTTAGTATGATATTTTATATAGAACTTTAAACATACATGCACTAAACACGAAACTTTTAAATTTTGAAGCTGTATTGCCTTTACTAATATAACTAATACTAATAGTAACATTAGTATCATATTGTACTTGTAGTACTAGTACTATTATTTTAATATTATACTTGTTAGCTAGAATACTGTTAGTAGTAGAATACTACCTGGATCTGCTTCTGAGCTTATACAGAATGATACTTGTGGAGAAAGTCTTGGAGGACTAATCTGTAAAAGTAGCATATTTAGAAAAAGACAACATTTCAAAATATTTCTGTCTTTTGTCTTTAGGTGAGTTTGCATGTTGTTGTCATTGAGGTGGGTATTTAGGTTTAAAACCAGGGGTGTTCTGACTTTATGTCCACTCCAATTCTCTCAGATAGTATACAAACCCCAGAAAAACTGGTACAAACTGATAGAGTAGGTCAGTTTTTACTGGTTTTGCTGGGGTTTATATGCTATCTGAGAGGATTGAAATGGATGTGATGTATTTGGTTGAAGGAGAAAGTGATGATTTGACCAATGGTAGTCACAAACTGTTGATATCCAAGCCTGAGTCTGATTTTAGCAATGGTTCTGTTGTGTTGGAGTGGTTGGGTTCTTTTATTTTGGATGTTTTCCAGAATTCATCAACTCGGATAAATTCTGGAAAACAAGAAAAGTCAAGAATTTTGTGGTTTCATATGTCCTGTACAGTCTTTATGCCCTTTTATTCTTGCTTCAAAGTGTTTTCCAATGTAGGTATGTTTACAGGAATATGTATTTGTCATCAGATGTTCTTTGTTTAGTTTTGACAAGGATAGATCTGAGTGTTCCTTAAAATTTCCAGTGGACATTAATGTTGAACTTAAGTTTTGCACATACAGAAGGTAAATAGTGTTGGTATTGTTTTTCATCTGTGGTGTCAGTTTGTATTTTTATGCTCTTCAAGCTATTGGTGATGAATCTAGAAAGGTACTCATTCTATTTAAAACACTTGATGTGTTAGCATTTGGCTTTGACATTTTTCATTGGAGGTGTTTTCACCTTTGTTGTTCAAGCACTTAATAATACTACATTTAATTGAAGTTGAATGGTAAGACTAGAGATGTATGCATCTATCAGTATGTGTAGGTTTCCCATATATGATTGTTGTGAGTTTCTCATTCTGCCTGCTGATTATAATATAAAGGAATGGTAGGTTGTTGTTGTTCTCTATTACCTGCTATTGTTTGGTGATATTGAGGGCTTTTAGTACCTATCCAGTCACCACCACAGGGTAATACTAAACACAGTGTGCACACTTCATAACATTGAATGAACAACTCAGAGATAACATAGCAGACCTCAGGATGTCCTTGTTAGTTTTTGTGTCAAGATGTTACTAATGTCCCAACTTCAGAAACCGTCCACATCACCAACCAGTTGCTGTTGAATGATAACTGTTGTACACATAGAACTGACAGGAAGGTTGAAGCTACTGTGGAACTAATCATAGTTTGTCTACTATCCACATACTTCATATGCAAGAATGATTGCTTTCAAGAAAGACAGCCTTGCCACTTTCACCAGATTTAGCAGACGTTTTTTATGGAAGATTTTGAACAAAGAGCCCTCTTGTTTATTGATAAGAAACCCAGCTTTTACAGACTCTACAGTAATGTCACATTCATTATCTGGTCCCATAGTCTTGAAAACTTACTTGCCATCTTACATGGAAATAGAGAACAACAGCCTGCCATTTCTTAATATTTTCCTGAATAGATAGAATGACAAAAACACTTCAACTTTATACAGGAAATATATTCATATTGACAAATACTTCCACCCTTACCATCCACCTTTTGTTAAATGCAGTATTATTAAGTGCTTGAATAACATAGATGAAAACACCTGTGGTGAAAACGCCATCAAAAGTGAAAGCCACCACACCATACAGTGTTTTAAGCAGAATGGATACCCTTCTAGTTTTATCACCAATAACTTGAACATAAAAAAACAGACTGATACTACAGAGTTACATTGAAGAAACTTGGACACAATGGGGCAAGAATAAAAGAACAAAGACTACACAAGACTAATGTAAATACAAAATTCTACTCTGGCAAAACATACCATGTTGACTGGACATAAAATGGACTGGGACAAATACAGATTCATTGACTCAGATAAATTCTAGAAAACAAGAAAATCAAAGAAATTCTGTATCAGAATGATTGAAGCACACGAGATATAACCTTATGGTTGAGTTACTAGAAAATAGGCCTTCCTTGATCAGGAAAAGTTCTGTAATGAACAAACTTGGGGGCTTTTCTGTGGTCCAGATATTGCAATTTTCAATCATTTCCACCAATCTTGGGAATACATAGACCTGTCCAGTTATGAAACTGCAGTTGACCTTGATGAAGTAGCAGAAGCTGTAGAGACTATTATTGAGAGCTTCTTCAACAAACCATAACCTTCCTTGATGGCATCTCTTCTTGTGAATTGTAACTTATAGCACCTGAAACACTGCATCATGCATGACAAATGGCCAAGACATTATTATGCCCTCAAGATTTGGATGTTTATCAGTTTAAACTTACTAGCTGTGAGGAAAGAGAACTGATGACATCTGTATATTTGTTGATTCTATCTTAGGGCATGGTTCACTACCACTGTTGCCATTTGTACTCTTCACAATGATCTTAACTTCCTACAATGTCTTGTTAAGTATAAGAATGTGAATTCTACTCTTTCAGAATCTGCTTGTAAAAAATTTACTGGATATCTGTAGTATCTCAATAACAAACTGCTTGTTTTGGCATTCTTTGATTCAACTGTATCTACATAAACAAAACTAACAATGGCAAAGGGACTGAATCAAAAGGAAGGCATGGATGAACCTCCAAAGCACAGGAAGTCTAAGCACATGTCAGTTGAAGATTTTGTCACATAAAACACAAGAGACTTCTTCAAATGCCTTGAAATTTCATAAGGATTTCTAGATTATTACCCCAAGTCATGTGAATTCAGAGATGACTATAGGGAAGCACTACAGACAGTTCAGCACTTGAATGACATAAATGACAATGCTGAAAGGGGTGTGGCTCTTATTGAGGAGTATAATGCTACCATAAAGAAATAATTCCTCCTTCAAGTTATGCAGGATCATAGAAAATGCTTTCCTAAGAGCAAAAAGGAAACATTAACAGTGCAAAAGTGACTAACCAAAATCATATAATTGTGTAATTATACTACTATACATGCAATTAAGTAATAATATCTTCAAATAGATCATCTTTATATCACATAGTACATATGGTACCAAGCCACTGCAATTTAGAACTTTAACCTCATTGAGCAATCTCTAAATGTGGTCCAAAATGGATGACATTTGACATTTAATTTTTTTGTACATTGGAATAAAATTAGGGGGTGAGAGATTTAGAATTTTAACCTGAAATTTTACCTGCAAATAAGGACTAACCTAATACACACACATATGTATATACTTAATGAGAAAGTCCCCATTACATAAATATCTTGCTAATCTCTTTCTTTGTTGCAAGCAGCCATATGGTTCAAGTCTATTACAAACTGATATTTGATGCCAGCAGTACTTGTGAATATGGTAAAAGATGGTACTTGTGCATAAATTAATTAAACAAAATACACCACAATGTTAAAAATGTCCAATAATTTATTAAAAATAGCACCATGCTTGTTGGACAACATATTTTGACTTCTTTTGATGGTGGTGAGGTAGTACTGCCAAAACCTGTAGAGTTTTTCGATGAGCTTCATGAACGTTAAGGTAAAAAACATGAAGAAAATCCCTTCTTAAAACTGTGTCCAGAATCATTGATTAAATGCCAACATTGTAAACTCTCAGGTTCTATTTAAAGAAGTTTAAAAATAAAGACCATGTTGGCATTCTGTCACTCATCAAACATTTCACTGATTGCAGTATAGTTCTAAAAATTGACATTTAAAACCCCTAGTACATTTATCTCTGTGCTAAGTTTCTGAGTTATAAGATAATTCTTATCAGGATCATTATTCTAGAGAAGGTTCTCCTGCATTCCTAGAACATTTCCATGTTCAACATAAGTAAAATCTAATTAAATCTCCTCCCCTTCTTTAAAGGCATTGGTCCAAATGGTAAAGGAATATCTTTCACACCTTAATTATAAAGAAAAAAAAAATTTTTCAACATACCATTTGAGACATAAGAAGGGGCTTCTTGGCCCATCATGGCTATCCCATAATTTTCCTTTGCAAAGAAAGTACTTGAATGCAATTAATAGTTTTATTATCCTTTATTTTTAGCAGTTTCTACTACTTGATAATAAGCATTGATTAAAGGTGACCAGTAATTGTGTGAAAAAAATATTCTTAAACATAGAAATGGTATGTGACTGTTTCCACATGTTTGATAACTTTTGAAGAAGAGATTAGCAAAAAGCTTTTGATGGCTGGAAATGATGACAACATAGGGTGAAATGGGTATAGTTCATTTAAAAATCTGTACAGTTATATTGACTGCCCATAACTCTTCAATATTTTAAGGATTATTAGTAAAAGATAGTAGATTTGTATTGATTTTATCAAAGTCTGTATCAAAATAATTTGTTAGGTTTCTAATTTTGTCCAGAATTAAAATAAATAGTACTTAAACTTTATTTTTTCTAGGAAGTCCTGAAGTATGTTAAAATAATTTTTATGTTTTTAATTAGAACTCGTACCTAAAGTTTTCATTTAGTTTTCTACTTTGTTATTATATAAATATTAAAGTAAAATGTGGTGAAGTGGGTATTGTTGCGTATCTGCTCATTTGTTAATTTCCTGTATAAATTCTTTCTGAGGAACTTCAGCGATACAAGTCCTTTCTTAATTAAAACTAGTTTATTCTTTCTTGATACAACTTTGTAATACACAGAATTTCCACAGTCCCTTTAAACTTAACTACTTATATAAACACACGCTATAAATCGCAGTGATTCACACACTTATCTTACGGTGCCTACTGTTTGCTTGACTCAATTATCTCTCGCTCTATATCTATCTATGCAATTCTATCCTCGCTTTATTTGCTGGGCTTATATACTAAAAAAGAGGGCACCTGGAACAAACTAGTGTATTCAGGAAAATTTATGATTCTTCCAGAATCTCATCACGTGTTACCAGCATCACGTAACTTCTGATGTCATAACAGTATATAGCTGTTTGCAGTTATGACGGCATTGTATGGAGCTCTGATGTAAAGATAGGTCAACATTAATTTATGTATGCATTTACTTTTCATTGTTCTAACATTGTATATACATTTG